TGTCTTACTGTGTTCCCCCCCCCCACTAATCGCACACTCTCTGTGCTTTCCCCCCGGAATAAAATATTGTATATAAACACATTTTTGCTTTCTTCCCCAAAAAGAAGTTAATCATCGAAAATCTGGCTACATACAATAAATGAATGAATAATAAAAAAAGGCGTAACAAGCAACAGGATGAGGCAACAGGTTGCTTCCCTTTGTGCTCAGTGTGGTGTTGAATCAGACCTGGCTGCATGTTGGTGCAATTTTAATGAGAAATATAAATCTGGCATGGCTTTGTTTACACATCAATCTTTTTTCCATTTTTTTAACCAAGCCAAAATAAGTCCAGGGATTGGAATAAGGTACTGCCTAAATCGCATATGCATAATCAAGGGACTTTATGTGGAATATGTTTCATGCCAGGCAGAACATAACATCTATGATTGAAATGATTTCTGTGAGGCAATGGGAGGATATCAAAATAGTAAATACCAAAACTTTTTCTCCCATCCCTACAAACGTCACACTAGCTCCAGACCTACACAAGACCACCTGAATTTCAATAACTTGACTGAAGAGAAATACAGAATAACAGGACACCAGCTGATAAGAACAGGTGGCCTGCAGCAGACCTCAGTGATATCTCCATTATAAACCATATGAGAACACACAGATGCACAATGAATACATAAACTAATAGTGCAGCCCTACAGCAGGCAGAGAAGAGAGTAAGATGTAGGTCTTCTCACACAAATGCCAACACGAATGCGTGCACACGCACAAAAACATACAGTCACACAGTCACTCATATGCACACAAGTAAACAGAAACACACAAGTAGTCAGACATGCACACGCTTTCATTCAAACATACACACAGGCCCAAACCCTCATCAAAGGCTTCACTCTGGTCTCTATTCAGGGTCCATTGTTACTATAGCGACCAGCTAGCTGGGAGAAGCTCTTCAGAGCGCCCTATCTGGGCCATTTCCCTTAAAGCGTGATGCAGATCCCATTTCCATCTTCTTACACCACTGACTGATGCTAGCATACAAATAAAACAAAGAGAAACACTGCCTGACTGACAATTAGCTGAGGGGCCTGCTCATTAGCCCAGAGATACTGGAGCAGCCCGACATGTCTAGGCTTGGGGCCTATCTCCTAAATCCTTTGGTTAGTTTGGTTAAGCCCCTCAAACCCACAGAAACCTCATCTTCATCCAGCCACAAGCCTATATTCATATTTCAGAACAGTACAACAATGCACAACTGGAACAACTTCCAGGCTTAAACAAATAATGGAAGGCTAGTTTCAGAGCAGAGCTGATGTCTCACCTGCATCAGAAATGGTCTGTGCACAGCCTCCATCACCACCTCCATGTGGCACAACTATCATGGTAGTCCGGCCCATACCATGAAGGAGGTTCTGCTGTGAGGGATGAGGGCCAGGATGGGACAGTGGTGGGGGGTTAGTGTTGGGGCGTCCCAGTGGCATGCCATCAGGGCCCACTGGTCCACCGCCTGGCCCCATAGGCCCACAGTTACTCATGGAGGAGGCCTGCATCTGGGCCATCATGTCAGGAAACTGGCCTGGACGAGGGCCCAGATGGCCCCCAGAGGTGTCCATGGTTTGGCAGTGCTGCATGGCCTCTCCTGGGACCCGCAGCCTCTGCTGGGCTAGGAGGTTCTGCTGAGGGCCACCAGGGACCATGACTGTGCCGTCACTGTAGTGCAGCTGGGCAGCTCCTTGAGGAGCAGGACCTGGGCCGGGGCTAATACCTGGGCGATGGCTGCTCACACTCAGGTTGTGGGAGCTCTGGCAGCTCATGGACTGAAGAAGCTGGGCCATAGAGGTGTTTTGGGGAAGGTTTCCAAGACGACCCACTTTTCGCAGCTGCTCAGTGGCACTGGGCCCCGGCATGTGGGGCCCTCCCATGCCTGGTTTGTTGAGCATGTTGTAGACGATGTTGTTACTGCTGTCATGGTTTACAGCAGCACTGCCCGATGACTGCTTCCTTTTGCGCATGGGGTCTCTCTGCTGGGCCATGAGCTTGTCTCTCAGGGCCGCCCGACCACTTTGGCCCTCAGGAGTGTTGAGCAGCATGGTGGAGTTCGGCGGGAGCATGGGGTTTAAAGTGCTGTGTCCCTCCATGCCTCGAGGGCCGCTCATAGAGCCAGGATGCCCACCACCCCCTCCATTACCTCCGCCACCTGTCCCCATGCCTGCCATACCAACACCACCAGCAGCCATGCCAGCGGTGCTGTTGCCAGCAGCACTGAGTTTGTTTTGATTTGCTAGCTGTGCTTTGGCTGCGGCTGACAAGAGACTGCTGGCAGGAAAGGAAGCAGCATTCTGTTGGTTGAGGATTTGGTTGAGGGGCATCCCCAGGAGTCCCGGGTGGCCCTTCTGGGAAGCGCTGGGGGTTGCTAGAGATGATGATGACGAGGAGGAAGAGGTGGGTGAGTACATGGAGTTGCTGTGCTGCTGGTTGCCAATCGAGCTTCCCATCCCGGGCAGCAACTGGGAGTCTTTGTACTGATGGAGTGGGTCACCTTTATTAGCGGAGGGGCTGGAGGGCATGGCTGGCCTGGGAGATCCCATGGCAGACCTGGGGGAACGAGGAGGGACCTTCATGGTGCCACATGGGGCCTGGTGTCCCACAGGCATTGCAAAGTTCCCGTGGTCAGAGGAGGTGGAAGATGAGCGTGAGCGATGAGGTGAGGCCTCTATTCTCCCAAGGGCAGGCCCAGTCATGTGGACAGGAGAAGTGACAGGGGATGGGGACATGGAAGAAGCTGGACCACCCTGCTGAGTCCTTTGAACATGGCCACCATGCCCCACAGGCCCAGGCTTCACTGTGGGTAAAGGTAAGTTGCTTGGCAAGGGGACAATGGCAGGAGGGGGTATGTTTACATTCATCATTGGTACCTGAGAGTGGATGTTAGGCTGGAAGTTGGAGGGGTTGAGGGGTTGGCTGACTGGTTTGCTGGGGATGGGGCCCAGAATACCTAAGGGGTCTTTTTCAGAGGTCAACTGCCTTTTCTGAAGGGCACAGGATGGAGGTATAGATGGAGGGGGTGGGACAGGGTGCACAGGGGGCTGTGTTTTATGGTGAAATGATACACGGGGCATATCCATACCAGGGGGGAAGTTCCCCCGTGGCATGTTCATGTTCATGACAGGACTTTTGGCCGTGGCCGTCGGGGAGAGGGGCGTACTAGTCCTTCCTGTCATGGCACAGGATGACTGGCCTGCAGGAGAGCCATGAAGCATGACACTGGGAGGGGAAAGAGGTGTTCTAGTATTCCCGTGGATGGAAGCTGAGCCAGGACTGCCGCCTGCTGGAAAAACACAAGGATTGGTCCTTGGAAAGCACTCAGGACTGCCCAGAGTGTCTGTGCTGGGAGACTGTGAGCCATCTCTGTACAGCTTAGCACTGGTGGGAGGTGGGCTCAGCATGCCTCCATACCCAGCCCGGTAAGGAGATTTGGGGCCTGGATCCCCACTGCCTAGCCTTTGGGACCTTGGGTATCCAGAGTAGACCTCTGGCTGGTGTGGTGCACCCATCTCTTGGGATTGATACAGCCTCTGCTGCTGCTGCTGTCCAGCTGCCATCATCATCTTGAAAGGATTCTTGCAGTCCGGCCCAACAGCATTAGGCAAGCTGTCGTGGGGTTTAGTCCTTATTGCTCGTTGAGTTGTAGAGTGAGCAGAGACCACAGATGATGTACCTTGAAAAATGAAGCGCACCTTTGTTAAATAATTTTCAATACCTTGGACAAAATAATAGGCACAGCAGGGAAGTCATTATTTACAAGCCACAGTGGCTGGCTAACAATGCCAATCACCAACTGGTTAATATCAGTACTTTACCAAACTGCTTCATCTCTACAACACAAGACTAAAAATAAGCATGTCATCTGAAAATAAAATGTGTATCTGCAGATGCTACAGTGAACTGTGTACATTGTCAGAATTTTCATGAGAAACACTGAAATTTCCATGCACTTGTACCTCCTCCTGGACTGGTCAGCGTCAGAGGCGGGTGTGTCTCCATGCTCTTGTGCAGCGTGGCCACAGCCAGGAGCTTCCTCTTGTGAATGCAGAGTTTGGTGACGTCTTCATCTGCTTTCACATCCTCCGCTGTTCTCTGCTTGACAGCTGCCCCTGGGTCGAAGTTGAATACCTGAGGAACAAGATAAGTGCTTTGCTGTTTTAAAATACATTTATCAAAAATGCTATTTTAAAATAATATTAATAGTAACAGATTCATAGTTATAATGTCATTTTTCTCTTTGTATTGATGCATAGAACTGCTAGCAGTCATTCAGAATTTTTGAAAAAGTATTACTGTGGTCATGTACTGAAAGTTGACTACAAACAGTGATCATGAATTCAAAGATAACACTGAGCTTTAATATCATGGTTTTGCACTAAATCCGTGGACCCACAGGGACGCACAAAGGCCCAGGGCAAGTTGCTTAAACCCTTTGCGGTGCCATGTAGAAGTGCAGCACACAACCCATGAATGTTTGAACATTATGTGAATAACAGTAACAATAACAATTCCTTGCACTCGTCTCTCGGGCCTGTGCTGCCTAAAGAGTGCAGACTGTAATGTATGTAAAGATGGTAATGTATGTGTTATGATGGTTATACATACGGTACATAATGTCTCAGAGTGGCAAAGAATCAAATCTTACTTTACACTTATGGGTCAAATCAATAACAGAATCAAACCATAACCAGTTTTTAAATCATTATTCTGTTGACAGGTGACAATTTAATGTGCACCTGGAGGAATGGAGGGAGGACAATGATTTGGGATCGTTTACATCTGCTTTTATTAAAACATAAATAACAGAGCAGAGATCAGCGTTTTCCCATACAACACTATCAGTCTGATAACGGCCTGACCTGACAGACATGGTGTGTTGGGGACAAATTTAGCTTCGAGAAGGATCATGGGTCGGATTACCCAGTGTAATGCGATACAGTGGATGCCTCACAGTTTGGTCCTTCACAGAGCAGAAGCAGTCAGCTTGGATTTATTTCATACAACCTGAGCATATGGAAATGGAGTCGAGTGGGATTATGCTGCAGGAACGAACATTTTCCCACTGTTTTCCACCATGAAAACTGGTCACTGTTGAAATTCATCATAGCTGACATTATCTCAACTTGACCAAAGTCACCATGTTCCATAAAGGACAAACCACCTTTAAATGACTTTTCGATTAAAAGAAGATTTCAACCAAAACATGAGCATCACTTTAACAATAACCTGTCACCTCTAACTTAAACTAGCACTCAGTCTGAAGAAGCATTTAACAATGACTTTGAGTGAGTGCATGTTTCTTGATCACCAGCATCACCACATCTGCTCTGGATGCCAGTCAGTTTTCACAGGCAATTACCAAATGAAGCTAAGTGGTAATTTGTGCAAAATAAATTTAATTTCAAAACTAACAAACCTTAAAATTGTACAAGTAGTATGAAATGTTTTCCCATTTGTGTTCACTTGATACCAAAAGAAATCAATCCAAACTATGGCATAGATTAATAATGGCATAGAATAAACACAGTGGTTCTCCTTAATTATGTGACTTTTAAATGATACACTTCATTTCAACCCAAAACAGCAGGAACAGGATCAGACACATGATCCCCAAACTAAAGCACAATCCTGCTGCATGTTTGAGATGACACATGGCTTACATCCTGTCCTTCACAGTGAACAGCGGATGAATCAGACTTGTTAAAAAAAAAAATGACGAGACTAAAAGCAATACTTTGAGTACACAAAGGCCACCTGATAATACAAGGCTGTTTAGCTGTAATTTTGGACAACAGTGTTTTAATTTCATTTTCATTTTGTGGCTTCCACCTTTAATTATTCTGGAGCCACGCTGAGAGGAAGCTGTAAAATCAACAAACAAAATTAGTACCTTGTGGAGGATGAGTGGGCACTCCAGGCCGCATTTGCAGGTTCCATCTGTCAGCAGGTAGGTCTTCACCTGCTCCAAGTTGGACAGCACCGAGCCACTGGGACTGCACACACAGAGACAATGTGAGGCTGAGGACAGACTTCAGATGGTGCAGTTCCAGAGCACAAATACTCTGATATTATATGTTGCAGCACATGATTACATTGATTGAAATAAGTTTTGGAAAATCATTCAGTGATTCTGGACTGAAAACCAATACTATTTGCATTAAACTGAATCTGTTTATGCTTAAATATTACATAGGTTTAGAGCTCCCAGCACATTATTCCCGATTCAGAAGAAGAAACCACTGCAAACTGAAATGCTCCTCTGACAGACACAGAAATGATTTCTCATCAGCACCTTTTGCTGAAGCATTTACAGGCTTGTGCTCATGAAATCAAACGGTAAAACACTCCCACAGTTTAATTCAATCTCTGTGTAACTTAAAAACAATCACTGAAAACATTTTATAAGGAGGAGCCTGTATCATATTGGTAGCGGACAACAGCAACTGAGCTCTGCCATTTTAAAGATAAAGCCCAATCTCGTGCAGTTCAGAAAAATCAATAGATTAATCCAACCTGAGCACTAATGTGTATTTCAATATCTGTCAGTGTGGACATATCACTATACAGATGGAAAATTACCCTCATCCACTCTAGTCAATTTTCCTTTTAAAGTATTTTTATTTATCGGTTTATTTATATATTCTTTGGCGAGACTGGAGGTCCCAGCTGCAATACAAATGAGAGGGAGCTCTGTGCCCACAACAGTCAAAGAAAACTTGAAAAATAGCTCCAGTGAAATATTTCAAAGTTGCCACTGATGAAACAAGAACAGTATGTACCAGTGGATGTTCCAATCAGACATATACACTGATAAGTGGACAAAACACCTGGCGACTGAACCATCAGTCACAACAACTGTGAACATTTCTACTGTGAGGATGTACATGTAGACTTGAACAGTAAAAGAACAGAAGCAAATACAGGTGTGCAGTGACAGTAACAGGCCACGGTCTCAGACGTAAACGGGATTCTTTCCAACACCCAAAATAAACCTGTCACCAAGCAACTGCTTTAGTTCATTGTGGTTCCTAAATACATGCTCATATGCAGGAAAGACACCAACTTCCAGTCTACATGACACAGTGACTGGTTACGGATCCAAATCACTAGTCCCTGCTGCACCAGTACAGTGGATTCTGTAAAGGCGACAACAGGGTTATGAAATGTGCCAGCCACATCTGAAATTTACAAGAATTTATGAGTTATGTTCCCATCTGCGAAAACACGTGGGCTGCAGGGGCAACAAAATACATTACAGTGAAGAGTTTATAGGTTTCCACTGCAGCTTCAGCTCCTCACAATGAGCAAGAACATCAGAAGATACCATCATGTCATGTCCTGCAAACTTGACCCATGTGCAGCAGCTAAAGAAAACTGATGGTGCTCTGTGATTTTAAAGGAACATACCAGACTGATGACATCTGTGCTATTGATCTATCTGCTGCCACTTTATGCACCAGAGGTCAATATGGAACAATCCCTGGTGCCACCTTCCCACATTTTATATCTCTGTAAATTGACAGTTGTTGGGGCACATTGAGCAACTTAAAGACACCAAATAATGCAAACCCATTACAGGATGTCAGTAATACACTACTTATTTTAAAATCCCATTCAATTTAGGCTACAGATGCCACCAGTTTCCAGTTCTGACAATGTGAATATCTGCTGCTTATTTCTGTTTGGTAAGTTAAACATCTTTTGATTTTGACTGCTGGATGGACACAAAAGGGACTTGATTACATAACCTTAAAAGGTTTTTTCCCAGTTTCATCACTTTTTTCTGGTACTTTGTAGAACAAATAGTTAACCGACTGATCAAGAAAATGATCACCTTATGGATTTCCCTCTTGTCAGCTAAAACTTGATAAGTTTTTCTTACCTTATGTATGCAACCCCTCCGCCGTGCTCCACCTTGCGCTGCCAGCCAATGGGGACCTGGACAGGGACGGCCTGCCTCTCGTCTCCCACCTCACAGTCCTTTCCGCCATTCATTGCTCCACTGGTTTTACGCTCAACACCTCAAAGGTATATACATCAGACATCAACCAGTGTCTTCGCAATGAACGTCATGTTTGTCTTCCAAAGCCGTGGTGGAGGTGGTGGTGGGAGGGTTGAGGAGAAGGGTAAGGCTGCAGGTTTATGCTTCAGTGTGGGACTCTGCTCTCGGTAGGAGCTTATGGGGCGGCGGGTGGCCGGGTAGGGTGAGACGAGCTCACGGCAGACCCTACCCTTTGAGCTGCTTCATGGCTACAGTGCTGAATGGTGCATGGACATCCATTACCGCATCTTGTCACTCAGAGCCATCCGACTTGAGAAGATGCTGGGTGGAAATGTGAAGGCCAGGATTCGGCACGTGCTGTATTTTCTTAAGAAAGTCTTTTATTATTAATTTTTTACCATTTGTCTTTTGCCACCCAGAATATCATCCCTCAGTCGGACAACATATTGGTGTTCAACATATTGGTTCCCAAATGCAGTTCGGTAGTGGTGCTCCCATGGTTTCTGTGGGGGCAGAACAGAAGAGAAATGCATATGGATTAATGGGACAGTGTGATTCCTTTTTCTTGTCTATAAATAAATATACTCTGGAAACTGACCACTGAAATAATATTATTGTTAGTAATGTTTTACTACAACTGAAAACTTTACTTGTACCTAAAGGCCCATCTTAGTTAAAAATTAAAGCTTTATCAAATAAATGTACCAGGAAAATGTGACTTAATGTAAAGACAACAAAATAAAAATCCATTTTCACGCAGTATTATTGGCACTTTCCCCTCTCTCTCTGAAGCAAATTTCAAACAGTAAAGCCCACCAAAGCTGCTAAATCAGGCTGAATTCTGTCTGAGTGATGGAGCTCCATGTAAAGGCTCCTCTCAGCCACCAGTGCTGCTGACTCATAACTGCCCTGTGAGCTGCTGAGGCCAAACCCAGCAACACTACCACAGAGGAAGTGAGGTAAGGAGGGGACTGCTAACAGCGGCACAGTAAAAATCAGGCAGCAGTTAAACAAATGCTGTTTATTCGAAATACGCAGCAGCAACAGTCACAGCTCATCGTCTCAGGAGAAGTATGCAGCGCCCTGTCAGATAAAACACCTCATATTTCTCATACCTCTATCTTTGGAATGTGTAGAGGTAACAAAGAAATATAATTTCTATTGTTGGGTTCACGCCAGAGGAAACAAGTGTTTAGTGCAGTGTTGCTATGTGAGGATGTCTCCAGTTGTGACAGATGTTTCACCTCCATTTTTAAGGTTTCTCGTTGTTTTTTGCTTTTATGAAAGCATGAATTTAATTAAATCTCAGCTTTCACCAGTATACTGCCCATGTCTCCACACATCCTTCAAACTCTGAACAAATTACCAACAGCACCTAGTAATCTTTAACCTTTTACTGCAGTCTGATTTTTTTGTTTTAAGATATTTCTTTTGGCCTTTTTGCATTTACTGTCCACAGCAACAACATAAAAAAAAGACAGACACAAGGAGAACAGACAGAGGAGCAGAGAGGTGGCTGAACCCACTAGAAATGCAGTGTGAATTCAATTATTACTGCACTGGAAGCATCTTAAGGTGATTTTTTATTTATTTATTTAAAGCTACTCTGATTTCTTTTCAGTCTGGATGATCTAGTAAGACTCAAAACAAAATGAGACCATAAACCACGTTGCCCCTCCCATCCTGTCTGTTTCCTAGCTTGCTAACACTGTGTTTTCATTATGTGTTAACATGTTACAACAAAGCTTTGCCTACACATGTAGCTAAAGCTGTAGTGGACGCACGTCGCCTCAAAACTCAACTACACGTCAGGTCTAAGGTAGCCACAAAGGGTCCATGTGGGGGACACAAGACTGAAGATTTGCCAGTTTGGACCACCTGTGTTTTCTCCTACAAGTAGCTTGGAGAATGCCAATCATGAAGACAAGATTAAGGAAGATGAAAAAAGTAACCACACTCAGAAACACCACCTCCACTCGCCATGACTGCTGCTCTGTATGTCAGTGAAAGAATGAACAGATACAACTGCTGTATAGGAGAAAGGTCCTATTCAGCAATGAGAGAAGAGAAATACAAGTTACCTGGATGTAACTCCAGTTATCTAAGTACATACGTAGTCCATCATCACGCCATATCACCAAGTGAATGAATGGATGTCACAGCACCATATGGACTGATCACATATAATACATCCTTCTAGTGTTTATGAGGCTGCCATCAACACATGAAAGTCCTTCTGAAAATCAAAGCTATGTGTCTTCCTTATGTGTTAAATGAAAAGGAAAAATTCAACTTCATGAGATAAAATACTGGTTATCAACAAGCCAGTGGAAGGTTTTTGCAGATTAGGTCCATCAAAACCTGTATTACAAATACAAAGTATTCAACAGCTCACGTGCAGAGTCTCACTGTAGCATTTCAAGAGACAGTGTGCATATAAGTCACATTTTAGGTGATGTGCCAAGAAGGTGAACCAGAAATTAGAAGATATAATCATTTCAAAATGCTTTGCAATCACTATTAGAATAAAGCAGGAGGGAACCGTCAACAAATAATCAATTAATGTGCCGCAGTTGAACAAAATTTGTCCTTTTGTAGCATTTAAGTGCCAAAATCTGACTCCAAAGGTGAATGTTATACTTTTTTTTTTATCTGGCTGCACCAATCTTCATTTTGTCCTCAGTGTGTACTGCTGTTGTTCAATCACAATCAATGTTGGGGAGACATTCCCTTAAAAATTAAAAGACGATAATGTGGAGTCTGACTACATCTCTGCAGAGTCACTGGTGTCTGCAATACGAAACAAGACTGCAAAAAGGGTGTGAGCATCATACATTTGGTGCCAAATAGGAAGATGAATCTGTTCTATTTTACAAAGTTAAAGATGAAAAATTAACAACAAAATTATTTTCCATTTTTATTCCCAACATGACATAGAGGAAAAGATGCAGCACTACTGTAAACATGTGGAACAAGAGGCAGACTCGGGGAAAAAGTTAATGCAGAAAAAGACAAATACAGCTGCTCAACAGTTACAGCAATGAGGTCTCTGAAAGAAAAAAACATTTTAGGTAAGAAACTGCATCAAATAATATGCGGAACCACAGCCAAAGATGCTTAAGTAACTGAATCTGTGGTCCATTAAGAATGGCAACTTATGTAAATGTTTGATCTTAGTCCATTTTGAAAAATATGATCAGACACAGTGGAATTTCATTACATGGGTCTAGAAGTATTTTACTTTCTCTTGTGTACTGATATTACTAAAATGGATCTTATGTTTTACCAGCTGACAGTGAAACAAATGCATCCTAACTAGAGGTGTAACGAGATCTCACAATACTAAAACGCGACTATATTTCTTGTCGATATTTTTCCGCCTGCTATGGCTAATCCAAAAAGGACAAATGGAGCTTGCTAGACAGCTAGCGGCCAGCCACCTATGGCGAGACCCTCTTATCTGTCACTAAAAGCGACCACGCCCTTAATTAAATGCATAACTTTTTGTCTCAATATAATTTAAACAGACGAGTTATTAAAATAATAATAATACAATAATATCCCATTTATAATATAATTATAAATAATAATAATAAATCTCCACCTCTATAGTTGTCATGGAAAGGGAAATTAGCTGGAGAGACCAAAACAGTTTTTTGTACCAGGCTGTAAACATGTTTATTTCTGCTGTGAAGTTGAAGTTTAACATGGGATTCTACGGCGATTGACTCCCTTTTGGAGCCAGACTCAAGTGGCCTTTCGAGGAACTGCAGGTTTAGACAATACAAATTTCTTGTTTTCTCAGCCTCAGAGGTTGCCACTTGGTTTCAACCAGCGCTACTGAAGGAGCAAGAGAGGGTCAAGGAGAGAGAGATGTAGGAGAAGGGCAGCAGCTTTTACTGCATGATAGTGACATTCATTTCAAGATAATTAGTTAAAACCTTTCAAGATGCACCTGTAGTGTTTTGTATTTAGAGACTATCAGTCGAATAAAAGGCCATTTTTCCAGTCATGTACTTCATCACTGAAGATTTCTTAAAAATACTGTAAAAATATTATCTCCACTCATTCTCGTGAACCCAGTATCATGTATTGTCACACCCATAATCCTAACAGTTCTTTACTGTTATGATGGGAGTGATGGGAGCTTATGTCTGTAACAGAGGTCTTTCTAAGCAAGTGTCTTGACTCATTATGGTCAGAATAAGAAAAACTTTCTATCTATTTGCTGGTACAGCAGCTGGTAAACTGGATGAACACAGCAAATGTTGTAGTAGATTTGCGCAGAGCCTTAGTTCTTACCAAATGAACAAAGCGAATTAGAATTGAAACCTCTGAGAACATAGTGTTTTTCACACCTGTAAAACCAAATCTCAGTCCAGCACAACCTTAAAGGACTTACATTTAAAAGTACTGACCCTTAATGTGACACTCAGCAGTCCCTCAATAGGAGTTGAAACATGATTAATTTGTCACATGCAAACACCATGTAAAGTTTAGGCAGATGAATTATGATCAGAATGTATTTTAATCCGTTGGACTGCTGTTAAACACTAAGATACAAATTGATTCTGGCCACACAGGTGAATCAGCCAACTGTGGTGATGCTATATGTCACCTTGAATCTAGACAGTGTTTGATATCATGTAACTTAATAAGCATAACAGAGAGTTGTCCAGGACACAAATATCCACCGAACACTGAGGAGCATGGATCCCAATGCTTTTTTTTTTTTAAAGAGCTGTACACTTGTCATTGTCTCTCTAAAAATGCATATAATGAAAAGTGACCTGGGTCTGTGATATGTTGTCAGATAATGCAAGAGTGAAAACTACATTGCAATTCCTGCACAAAGCATGTACTGTCTGTGGAGTATAATTCTGGGCATGATAAAATAGGAGTGGGGCACAAACTGTACAAGACCAAGGAAACGTAACGTTACGTTCTGGTCTTCTCTCAGTAAATCACAACATCTACCACTGCTCTTTTAGTAACTGACTAGATTAAATCCATTAATTTTCAACTTTGCATTTAAACCTTGCTGTAACCCCATGGAGTTGGCCAAGGGTGGTTCAGGAACAAATTACCCATATTGTCCTGCAGCAGGTTTCAAAGTTGACAGCTACACAAGTTGAGATGACCAGCCCCCCCCCCCCCCCCCCCCCAAACTGCAGAACATGACAACCAGCTGGTGTATACTACCAAAGCAACCATAGCAGCCTCAGCGTTCAATAATAGCCAATAAACATTAGCCAGACTGCCCATCAACTGTGCCAAGTGTTGCTTTATTAACGCTTTAGCGACAACTGTGTGGCGTTAAAGGTTTAGTTTATCACAAGGCGAGGCGTGCAACTCAAACCCCATCGTCTGTGGCCCCCTGTGTTAAAAAGTGGCCGTATGAACAACCGAAACCAGTCTTGTCTGACTGTGTTTTTTGATGCATTGGACACAGCATCTGAACTAGCTGGGGGTTAGCATGCCAAGCGTCAGCTGTCTAGCTACCGTTAGTTAGCTAGTCAGCTAGCTTGTTGTAACGAAAATGAATTAGAGGGCGAGCTTGGCTACGCTAATAATGTTTTAGCATTTAATTGGCGAACCGTAACCGGGGTCGTACACATTGATGACCCGCATACCAGATTCCGACTTCAAATTGTCGAAGTAAAAAGCAGCTAGGCCCGCGCTGGGTTTCGAGCCAAGGGGCCAGGCAAGGCCAGGGCCAGGCCGAGTTAGCACGGGTTAGCTTAACATGCTAGCTAACAGCCGTGCAAACCCATTGCGTTTGCACAGAGAGCGAAGAAGAAGAGAGAGACGCTTCACAGACACTAACGTTTCTGTCTGCGTCAAATAAAACCGTAAACAGTCCATTCTTACCCGGGTATCCCTGCGAATTCATACCGGAGCTAAATCAGTGGAACAGAAGAGCAACCATGCGTTTGTGACCTTAAATAAAATAAGAACAAGAAGCCTACCTATTAGTTATCTGCCTCTGCTGGTTCTCCTACACTGGGATATTGGAAATGATGGAGAGCTGGATTGCGCATGCGCTTGAGCAGTAGTAGCCAGCAGATGGGAGAGGTGATGCACGTTTCACCCAGAGCTCAGAGATGCATCAAATCTGCATGGCAAAAGTTAGGAAAAACATTATTAAATGAATGAGGAAAGATGTATGTATATATTGTTGTGAAGGAAGTACTCAGATCATTACCTTAAGTAAAAGTAGCCTACTAATACCACACTGTAAGAAGTAAAAGTCCTTCAATGAAAAAGTATAATCAAGAAAATGTACTTAAGTATTAAAAGCAGTCTGCTTGAAACATAATACACATAGGAAAGATCCTGCTGCTTAAGGTCTGTATATTGTATCGAAATAAATAGAAACCAATGGCAAAATATAAAGGGCTATTATTTATAAAATGGTAACTATCTAAAAGATGCATAACCCCCAGTGTGGTTCTTCAAGATATAGCACATCAACTTCAGTTTTAAATAAAGTAGTGAACACAAATTTGACCCAATAACGTTCAGAGGAAATCCACAGGCCTCTTTACTGCCAGCTGTCAATGCAATAAAACTCTCTAATAATAACCCCATTAACTGGAATAGAATTATTTTTCTAGTAGCTTGGAGGGATTGTGTCATATTTAATGGGGCATATGTAAATTGTTGTAAAAAATAATTACTTTTATTTGAAGGTTTCACATTTTAACACCAATTGTATCATCTCCAGCCTATTTGGTATAATGCTAAAATATGGATATTGTAGCCCTTTGAAGTCTTTTCCCAGTTAGGACTATATTGAAGTGTATGAAATTTTGAAAATAGTGGTGCTGAACTGTAAACAAATGCTCAGCTAAATTACTTCTTTGCATAAATAAATGTCATAAAAGCTTTTTAAAAAGTAGTTTCATCATCTGAAATGAAAGGAGATGCAGCTCAGGGTGCAAATGCCTGAATTTTGTTTGAAGGTCAAACCTGAGGAGACTTTAAATTAATTTGGTGTTTGGCTGCTGTAAAAGAGCTGCTTCATGTATTTTTAAGGGCTAACACAGAGCTGAATGTGTGAGCTGAGAGCTGTATTTTAGAGTAATGTGACAGGTGAAATGTGAGCAGAGGCTGGGACATCATTTGTGAGATATCTAGTGGTTTATTGTACTTTTTTTCATCTGTCAACCAAAAGCCACTGGAAGCGTTTAAGTATCTCCAGAGCTTCATCATCATTGTAAACAAGTAAAAGCTAGTGTTAAAGGCAACCTTCAAACCATTCAGAGTAACCATCCCCCTAGTTTGATCAAAATCAGAGCAGCAGTGGCAGTTATTGCAGATAAAAATAAAAAAAAACTACTTATAATTGTCTCCATCTGAGCAACCATTGTGGAGGCCCATAAGGAATCACATAAATAAATAACCACCATTCATTAAAAATAAATACATTTTAAAATGACAATAAAATAAAAAATGCTATCTATCTATCTATCTATCTATCTATCTATCTATCTATCTATCTATCTATCTATGTCTCTTATGGGCTTCCACCGTTTTATAATACAACAATGGCCTCCATAACATTGACATTTGTAAATGCTAGAACTTCGCATTACATGTCAGTATTTTGTCCAAAATTGCACAGAAACCCGTAAAAGGGGTTTGGATCATATACATGCTGATAATTTGTAAATTAAATAATGAACACTAAGGCTTGGGCTGCTTGTATGATCCATGTTATGCCTGAGAAAAGCTAAATGTTTAAATTTAATCTAAAGATGTTTTTAAAGGTTGGAGAAGTGTGTGAGGTGAACCTAGAGTTTTCGTCAATCTAAATATTTAAAAAGAATAACGTTATTCATATTATATTATTACGTAATTGTCATGAAAATACATAAATCATCAAAGCGTGAGTTCAGCCAGAATTTATCGGGGACTATTTTCAGCGGCGGATTAATCCACATTTGGTTTTATTAAGCATTTGGAGTACCAGGACGTTTCATGTAGGATTGAGTCAAAAATAAACTTGTGTATGTGTTTGTGTGTGTTTGTGGCAAAGGAGGCACGTATCACTCACTGAAATTAAATTATATTCATACCCATTTTATTCTAGTCTAGCGTGTACCTCAGCAAGTCACGGACGGAAATGAAGTAAATGCAGGAAGTTGTCATTTCTGTCCGAG